TTTATTTTTCGTCTTTATGGTCATATATTAATACTTCATCTGATATCACTGTAGTATACACATTATGATGACTTTTGAGGGTTAAGGCAGGAGACGCAGTAGCTGGGCTACTAGCTGTCCTCTGTTAGCTGGTAGCCCAGGTACTGAGTGAGTCCACAATGGATAAAGTGGAAGCCATCCCAAGCTGCCCTCCACCTCCACAAAAGAAGAAGTACAGTCCTGCTTGGGAGGGGTTACTGGTGACTCAGACCCCAGTTTACAACCACTGCATCCCGCTCAGAGTTCTGGCCACGAAGGACCAGGAGAACCCTGTAACCTGGACTGAGTGTACATCTGTACCCTAAAGTCCGGAATGTCTTTTTCTGTGGTCCGGTCTTGCAGACCGAACTTTAGCACCAGCCGGAGATTTCTCAATAATGTGTATATGGCCACTGCCGGCCATGCAGCTGACCAAAGTCCTGTTAAACCTTGTAATATGTGTTTCGATGTTTTTTGTAGACGAGAGTGCTGGTAACGCACGGCCTGAGCTTCCTGTCTAAAGCAGACCTGTCCTGGTGATGGAGAATGGTCACATCTCTGAGATGGGCTCCTACATGGAACTGATGGACAGGAAGGGAGCCTTTGCCAAATTCATCCGCACCTTCAGTGGAAACCAGTTCAGAGAGAGCTCCACCCCCAGAGGCAAGAGTAAAAACTTAACTTCTTAGTAGAAAGGAATAAAACGACAGTAACTAAACTAACCAGAGCTCAGGAAGAGCCCAGGTTGCAAATCCCTCCTATTAATCGGGCCTAAATGAAAGCTGAGCAGTCTTGAGATATTCTTCCACTAGGGGGCACACCTGTGAAAAAGTTTATATCTTGTAATCTGCTGCATGGATTCATAAAAAAATCAGTCTGTACTATCTAGGGTCACTGCTAAGCTGATCTATAAAGTTTAGTAATGATTGCTTAAAGTGGGCGTGGCTTATTACAATAAAGGTAAATTTCTAGACATTTCTCATTCCAAACTTCAAACAATTTAAGAAAATCAACCGTACATCCTAGAGAGGTGGAATTATTTCAGCACAATCACAGATATGGTCAATTCAGAAGTCAGTCACTCTGTATTTTTAACAACTATATCTCCACAAGTCTTTGTTCAAATGATAAATCAACATGCACATTCTCTATATGGCCAATATAAAGCGTTTCAAAGGGCTTTTAGATTGGTCAAATGGTGAGTCTGCAGTGATGTTCAGTATCTTACTATGAGTTGTACAGTATGCACAACATTGTCTTTCTGCTCAGTGTTGGATCAAACGCCACCAAAATGAGTGACAACACACCCAAAACCAGCAGAATGATGTCTGATTATTTTCATAATTTTCTCACCAACATCTTGACTGTTGTGTCACTACCTCAACTGGTGAGAAGGTGTTTGGAAACTAACTCTTACCACCGGCTCAGTCAAGAAGTGACCTGTTCTGTGGATACAAAGTTCCAGGGTCCAAGTCCCAGTTGCCAGCAATGGGGGTTTACACCCATGTCGTGTGTTTTCTATTATTTGTTGAGGCCATAGTGAGTCAATTTTTGCCTATTCCAACTGGACCCTTTGAATTTTTATTATTATTTTTCTCTGCTAAAAAAACTTGGAAACACGAAAATTGGCAGGTGGGTTGCAAATTTAATTTTTTGCGACCTGCTTCGATCCCGATCATTGCTGCTTGTGGCTATATTTTTGATTTTACTTGTGTACAAGCAATGGAACGTGATACACAGTTTAGTCCACAGTGACATTTGTACTCAGTATTGAAAATCTGCGGCATGAAAATCCCTGAATGTTATTAAAGGATAACTTGCATCATATTTATTCATGAACAAGGAGAAAAACAAACAAAGTTGTATAAAGGTGCAAAGCTCACTGATACAATCAAAATGTCATTGTTGTAAAGTAATACATGTTAAACTGTGCATATTTGTATGTGCAGTGTGTGTGTATGTGGATAATTGTGTGTGTGTGTTTTTGTAGGCAGCAGGAAGTCGGTGTCTCGCCTCAGTATGACTGATTTCTCCATCGATCTTTCTCAGGAGCAGCTGATCAGGTGAGAAAACTGTTATTCAGCGTTGATTTATTCTGGGTTGATTTCTTCAGCCTTGATTTAATCAGCGTTGAATTATTCAGCATTGATATATTTAATTCAATTCAATTTTATTTATATAGCACCAAATCACAACAACAGTTATCTCACAGCGCTTTTCATAAAGAGCAGGTCTAGACCGTACTCTGTGATGATATTTACAGAAGCCCAACAGTTCCGAGGCAAGGAAAAACTTCCTTTTAAGAGGCAGAAACCTCGAGCAGAACCATGGCTCAGGGTGGGCGGCCATCTGCCTCCACCGGTTGGGGGGGGGGTTACCGTCACATTATTTATCTGTGTAATTAATGATGTCTATGTGTTTGTGTGTTCCAGCTGTGATATGAGCAGTGCCAGTGTTCAGATGATGGAAGCTGTTGATCAAGTCTTTTGTGCTGAGGATGCTGGGAAACTTACAGAGGCTGACAAAGCTCATATAGGGAGAGTATGTCCTTCTTTTCATCAATATGAGTAATATTTGTATCAGTATTATTATGTAGGCAGCAGCATCATGGACTTACAGAAAATTCACAAAGCTACCTTTAAAATGATTACCTAAAATAAAAACTGTGTTCAGCTAGAACTTCCTGGTACTAAATAGCCACAGGAGCTAAACTAAGGAAATGATTGTGGTTCCACCTCATCTAAGACCTGAAATAAGATAAAAAACAAGACTTTCAGTGGTGAAAGCTGCACAGTGACAAATGTCCATTTTTTAAAATTTAATAAACAGGAAGTGTGTGATATTAACAGTGTTCTTCTTCTGCTGTCAGGTCAAGCTGCAGATGTATAGAGAGTACTTCAGGACCGTCGGGTTGACCTTCATTATGACCATCATCTTCTTCTGTGCCTTCCAGCAGGCCGCCTCGTTGGCCTACAGCTATTGGCTGAGCCTGTGGGCCGATGACCCGCCCGTCAATGGCACGCAGAGCGACCACGAGCTGAAGCTGAGCGTGTTTGCAGCTCTGGGCTTCACGCAGGGTGGGTCAAGGGTTGTCATACACCTCAACACCTTTGAGTTCCCTCTGAATGATTCAGCAGAACAGAGCTCACTGAGGTTCCTCTCTGTGTTTCAGGGATGGCCATGTTCGGGACGACCCTTGCCATCGCTCTGGGAGGTATTGTAGCATCGCGTCACCTTCACGCCGATCTCCTCCACAGTGTCCTGCACTCAACCATGACCTTCTTTGAGGTCACGCCCAGCGGAAACCTTCTGAATCGCTTCTCCAAAGAGATCGATGCAATCGACTGCATGATTCCTGATGGGCTAAAGATGATGCTGGGCTACCTGTTCAAGCTGCTGGAGATCTGCATCATTTTGTTGCTGGCCACACCCTTCACAGGGCTGGTGCTCCTCCCCCTCACCTGTGTTTACGGCTTCATACAGGTAAAGGTTTCTCCTGAACGTCATCTGGACATATGAGGTTCAGCCTCCCTGTAAGTATTGCTTTCTATGCTTCTGTTCTCCAGAGTTTCTATGTGGCTGCGTCGTGTCAGCTGCGACGGCTGGAGGCGGTGAGTCGCTCGCCTATCTACAGCCATTTTAATGAGACGGTGCAGGGCGCCAGCGTCATCCGAGCCTTCTGTGAACAGCGACACTTCATCCTGCAGGCCAACCGCCGCATTGACAACAATCAGGAAGCTTATTTCCCTCGCTTCGTCGCCACCAGGTTCATACTGAAAACACACCAGAGTGTTTCAAAGGTTTTTCTGTGTGATAGTACTTTAAAGGTATTTCAGAATCAGAAACTCATAAAACAACAGAAATACTCTTCATTTAGCTGACGCTTTTATCCAAAGCGACTTACAATTGCTATATATGTCAGAGGTTGCACGCCTCTGGAGCAACGAGGGGTTAAGTGTCTTGCTCAGGGACACATTGGTGGACGGGTCACACTGGGGGGGACGAGACAGCAACAATGTCCTTGGATGCTGACTGGGACTATATTAACATGCAATGTTGTTGACTAAAATGACTAAAATGTAATACATAATTACAATACATCAGTGTATGAGTAAATAAATATTACAGTGCAACTGTAGTGTATAGTATAATATAGTCTATTTGAATATTTTCTCTGTAATGTTTCTATAGTTGTTCAGTGTGTTTGTCCCTGATTTCTACCTCCTGAGTAGTACTAATACTTTACCCTCACAGTATTGTCATGTTTTAGTATTTCATTTTCTCAGATACTCAGGTATTTTGTCATTAAATGTGTTTCTGTCAGATGGCTGGCAGTGAACCTGGAGTTTTTGGGGAATCTGTTGGTTTTGGCTGCAGCCGTCCTCTGTGTGCGAGGTCGGGGTGAACTCAGCCCGGGCATCGTGGGATTGGCATTGTCACAGTCTCTCCAGGTTCAAAACTTTTTATTAAAAGTGGTTCTGAGGGAGATTACAGATGCTTTTCCATTTCCTCTACAACTTCAGTACGTATTCAGTATGTTTGCCATAAAAGTATACCTGACACTGGACACCTAACCCAAAAAACACTAAAGGCCTGCAGTGTTTATAAGCAAAGCTTATTTAATACAAAGCTGCCATTAGAAATAATACAGTTATAATTAGTCATTTTTAATTAATCAGCCAACCAGGACTTGATTCCTCACGGGCTGCAGTGTTTCAGAGAGACCGCTGCCTCGACTCCCTTTGACTCCTGTGTCATCTGTGTTGAAAGAACACCTCAGATAAATGACAGTCATTTGTGTTTGTTAAAATTCAGGAGTGAGTCAGAGAGGCCTCGCTGAAAGCTCTGCAGTGTAAGAAATCTTCAGCTTCAGTGATGGAGGGTTTGTGTTTCTGCAGGTGACGGGAATCCTGAGCTGGATTGTTCGATCCTGGACTGATGTGGAGAACAACATTGTGTCGGTGGAGAGAGTCAAAGAGTACGACAGCACTCCTAAAGAGGTCTGCAACTGGACCTGGTTCATGTGGAAACTGAAATCTGTGGCTCGTAGTCCAACATGTCTGAAGCTTAACGTGTAGAAAGTATTTTATTAATGTGCTTCTGCTTCTTCTGAACCATCAGTGTTTTTAGTGTTGACCTTACTGACCCGATGTGTCTCCCCAGGCAGCGTGGACCCTCGAGGGCAGCTGGTTGCCGGCAGCCTGGCCGACCACAGGAAACATCCAGTTTGAAGACTACGGACTGCAGTACCGTAAAGGTCTGGACTGGGCTTTAAACCACATCTGCATCAACATCCAGGACAGAGAAAAGGTCAGAAACGATCAGAGTAAAAATATACATGTGGTGTTAATCTGCACTCAGAGTACCAAAGTGAAATAAATCCATCTAATAGGAAAATATTCGTATTCATTTGACAGTGGTCAGTTACAGTTGTATGAATTTATGACGTGTAATAAATCCTCTGAAGACAAGTTGATTAAAAGAATGAACTTGCAGGTGGGGATCGTTGGAAGGACGGGAGCTGGGAAGTCCTCTCTGGCTCTGGGGATCTTCCGGATTCTGGAGGCAGCGAAGGGACGGATCTTTATTGACGGGATCGACATCGCTCAGATCGGCCTGCATGATCTCCGCTCCAGGATCACCATCATTCCTCAGGTCAGTGCTGCAAATACTGCAGCACAAGTACTATAGTACCCTCACACTACTGTAGTACAAATATTATAGTGCACTGGAAATACTACAGCACAAATATTATTAGTGCAATTAAAATTTTAATCGCAATTAATCACATTGTTATGCGCAAAATGTAATAATGAATTCTAAAGTAGTGTATTCCCACTTTTAATTTAAATGTACTGCTATAAACACAAAAGTGCTTTAAACAAATAAGGAGCTTTTTCCCAGCAGTATTCCCTTTACACAGCAGCACTAAAATATTTCTTGTAAATCTCAACTTAAACATTAATGTAATCAAATCAAATATTAAACCAAAGCTATTTGCCGCTGCCAGGCCGTTACCTTTTATCTAGTTTGGTAAAACAAGTTAGAGTCCAGAGCCACGATCAGAACATCAGAACAGGCTCCTTCTGAGCAGCAGGTGAACAGATAGAAATCTGTTTTCAGGTATCAGCAGAAACATTTGTCTTTTATCAGACAGCAGCAGAAAAAGCATTATCTTGAACTTTTTGTACGTGACGCGCAGCACAAATCATTGGATAAGAGACTGATCCTCGCTGTTTGGGAGTAAACAGGACATCAGCAGGGGGGAATTCACACGGCAGAGCGTCCCCGCAAAACTAGATGAGCCTATCAGGTAAAGTTTAATTAAACAGGCTACAGCTGTGTAGCGCACAAGAAAAGTTGACATGGTTACTCTCCATAGAGCGCCTGCAGAGTCAGAGAGCAGCGGACTTTCAAAATAATAAGAATAGAAAATGTGTTTACATTCAATAAAATAATTGTCAACAAGCTTAGCCCTAAATATTAAAGTACAAATACTGTAGTACACCTTGCAGTGAATTCTTAAACAGTACAGCATGCAGTGAGTACTTCACAAAGTTAGTATAACTTGCAGTGAGTACTTCATACAGTTAGTATAACATGCAGTGAGTACTTCATACAGTTAGTACAGCATGCAGCGACTTCATATAGTTAGTACAGCATGCAGTGAGTACTTCATACAGTTAGTATAACTTGCAGTGAGTACTTCATACAGTTAGTACAGCATGCAGCGACTTCATATAGTTAGTACAGCATGCAGTGAGTACTTCATACAGTTAGTATAACTTGCCGTGAGTACTTCATACAGTTAGTATAACTTGCAGTGAGTACTTGATACAGTTAGTACAGCATGCAGCGACTTCATATAGTTAGTATAACATGCAGTGAGTACTTCATACAGTTAGTATAACATGCAGTGAGTACTTCATACAGTTAGTATAACTTGCAGTGAGTACTTCATACAGTTAGTACAGCATGCAGCGACTTCATATAGTTAGTATAACATGCAGTGAGTACTTCATACAGTTAGTATAACATGCAGTGAGTACTTCATACAGTTAGTATAACTTGCAGTGAGTACTTCATACAGTTAGTACAGCATGCAGCGACTTCATATAGTTAGTACAGCATGCAGTGAGTACTTCATACAGTTAGTATAACTTGCAGTGAGTACTTCATACAGTTAGTACAGCATGCAGCGACTTCATATAGTTAGTACAGCATGCAGTGAGTACTTCATACAGTTAGTATAACTTGCAGTGAGTACTTCATACAGTTAGTATAACTTGCAGTGAGTACTTGATACAGTTAGTACAGCATGCAGCGACTTCATATAGTTAGTATAACATGCAGTGAGTACTTCATACAGTTAGTATAACATGCAGTGAGTACTTCATACAGTTAGTATAACTTGCAGTGAGTACTTGATACAGTTAGTACAGCATGCAGCGACTTCATATAGTTAGTATAACATGCAGTGAGTACTTCATACAGTTAGTATAACATGCAGTGAGTACTTCATACAGTTAGTATAACTTGCAGTGAGTACTTCATACAGTTAGTACAGCATGCAGCGACTTCATATAGTTAGTATAACATGCAGTGAGTACTTCATACAGTTAGTATAACTTGCAGTGAGTACTTCATACAGTTAGTATAACATGCAGTGAGTACTTCATACAGTTAGTATAACATGCAGTAAGTACTTTATATAGTTAGTACAGCATGCAGTGAGTACTTCATATAGTTAGTATAACTTGCAGTGAGTACTTCATACAGTTAGTATAACATGCAGTGAGTACTTCATACAGTTAGTATAACATGCAGTAAGTACTTTATATAGTTAGTACAGCATGCAGTGAGTACTTCATATAGTTAGTACAACATGCAGTGAGTACTTCACACAGTTAGTATAACTTGCAGTGAGTATTTCATACAGTTAGTACAGCATGCAGTGAGTACTTCATACAGTTAGTATAACATGCAGTGAGTACATCATACAGTTAGTATAACATGCAGTGAGTACTTTATACAGTTAGTACAACATGCAGTGAGTACTTCATACAGTTAGTATAACATGCAGTGAGTACTTCATACAGTTAGTACAGCATGCAGCGACTTCATATAGTTAGTACAGCATGCAGTGAGTACTTCATACAGTTAGTATAACTTGCAGTGAGTACTTCATACAGTTAGTACAGCATGCAGTGAGTACTTCATACAGTTAGTATAACTTGCAGTGAGTACTTCATACAGTTAGTATAACTTGCAGTGAGTACTTGATACAGTTAGTACAGCATGCAGCGACTTCATATAGTTAGTATAACATGCAGTGAGTACTTCATACAGTTAGTATAACATGCAGTGAGTACTTCATACAGTTAGTATAACTTGCAGTGAGTACTTGATACAGTTAGTACAGCATGCAGCGACTTCATATAGTTAGTATAACATGCAGTGAGTACTTCATACAGTTAGTATAACATGCAGTGAGTACTTCATACAGTTAGTATAACTTGCAGTGAGTACTTCATACAGTTAGTACAGCATGCAGCGACTTCATATAGTTAGTATAACATGCAGTGAGTACTTCATACAGTTAGTATAACATGCAGTGAGTACTTCATACAGTTAGTATAACTTGCAGTGAGTACTTCATACAGTTAGTACAGCATGCAGCGACTTCATATAGTTAGTATAACATGCAGTGAGTACTTCATACAGTTAGTATAACTTGCAGTGAGTACTTCATACAGTTAGTACAGCATGCAGTGAGTACTTCATATAGTTAGTATAACATGCAGTGAGTACTTCATACAGTTAGTACAGCATGCAGTGAGTACTTCATATAGTTAGTACAGCATGCAGTGAGTACTTCATATAGTTAGTACAACATGCAGTGAGTACTTCACACAGTTAGTATAACTTGCAGTGAATACTTCATACAGTTAGTACAGCAAGCAGTGAGTACTTCATACAGTTAGTACAGCATGCAGCGACTTCATATAGTTAGTATAACATACAGTGAGTACTAAAATACAGTTAGTATAACTTGCAGTGAGTACTTCATACAGTTAGTACAGCATGCAGCGACTTCATATAGTTAGTACAGCATGCAGCGACTTCATATAGTTAGTATAACATGCAGTGAGTACTTCATATAGTTAGTACAGCATGCAGTGAGTACTTCATATAGTTAGTACAACATTCAGTGAATACTTCACACAGTTAGTATAACTTGCAGTGAGTATTTCATACAGTTAGTACAGCATGCAGTGAGTACTTCATACAGTTAGTATAACATGCAGTGAGTACATCATACAGTTAGTATAACATGCAGTGAGTACTTTATACAGTTAGTACAACATGCAGTGAGTACTTCATACAGTTAGTATAACATGCAGTGAGTACTTTATATAGTTAGTACAGCATGCAGTGAGTACTTCATATAGTTAGTACAGCATGCAGTGAGTACTTCATATAGTTAGTATAACATACAGTGAGTACTAAAATACAGTTAGTATAACTTGCAGTGAGTACTTCATACAGTTAGTACAGCATGCAGCGACTTCATATAGTTAGTACAGCATGCAGCGACTTCATATAGTTAGTATAACATGCAGTGAGTACTTCATATAGTTAGTACAGCATGCAGTGAGTACTTCATATAGTTAGTACAACATGCAGTGAATACTTCACACAGTTAGTATAACTTGCAGTGAGTATTTCATACAGTTAATACAGCATGCAGTGAGTACTTCATACAGTTAGTATAACATGCAGTGAGTACATCATACAGTTAGTATAACATGCAGTGAGTACTTTATACAGTTAGTACAACATGCAGTGAGTACTTCATACAGTTAGTATAACATGCAGTGAGTACTTTATATAGTTAGTACAGCATGCAGTGAGTACTTCATATAGTTAGTATAACATGCAGTGAGTACTTCATACAGTTAGTATAACCTGCAGTGAGTACTTTATATAGTTAGTACAGCATGCAGTGAGTACATTATATAGTTAGTACAGCATGCAATGAGTACTTCATATAGTTAGTACAACATGCAGTGAGTACTTCATATAGTTAGTATAACATGCAGTGTGTACTTCATACAGTTAGTACAGCATGCAGTGAGTACTTCATATAGTTAGTACAGCATGCAGTGAGTACTTCATATAGTTAGTATAACATGCAGTGAGTACTTCATACAGTTAGTACAGCATGCAGTGAGTACTTCATATAGTTAGTACAGCATGCAGTGAGTACTTCATATAGTTAGTACAACATGCAGTGAGTACTTCATATAGTTAGTATAACATGCAGTGAGTACTTCATACAGTTAGTATAACATGCAGTGAGTACTTCATACAGTTAGTATACCATGCAGTGAGTACTTCATACAGTTAGTATAACTTGCAGTGAGTACTTCATACAGTTAGTATAACATGCAGTGAGTACTTCATACAGTTAGTATAACATGCAGTGAGTACTTCATACAGTTAGTATAACTTGCAGTGAGTACTTCATACAGTTAGTACAGCATGCAGTGAGTACTTCATACAGTTAGTATAACATGCAGTGAGTACATCATACAGTTAGTATAACATGCAGTGAGTACTTTATACAGTTAGTACAACATGCAGTGAGTACTTTATATAGTTAGTACAGCGTGCAGTGAGTACTTCATATAGTTAGTATAACATGCAGTGAGTACTTCATACAGTTAATACAGCATGCAGTGAGTACTTCATATAGTTAGTACAACATGCAGTGAGTACTTCATATAGTTAGTACAGCATGCAGTGAGTACTTCATATAGTTAGTACAGCATGCAGTGAGTACTTCATATAGTTAGTACAACATGCAGTGAGTACTTCACACAGTTAGTATAACTTGCAGTGAGTATTTCATACAGTTAGTACAGCATGCAGTGAGTACTTCATACAGTTAGTATAACATGCAGTGAATACATCATACAGTTAGTATAACATGCAGTGAGTACTTTATACAGTTAGTACAACATGCAGTGAGTACTTCATACAGTTAGTATAACATGCAGTGAGTACTTTATATAGTTAGTACAGCATGCAGTGAGTACTTCATATAGTTAGTACAACATGCAGTGAGTACTTCATACAGTTAGTATAACCTGCAGTGAGTACTTTATATTGTTAGTACAGCATGCAGTGAGTACATTATATAGTTAGTACAGCATGCAATGAGTACTTCATATAGTTAGTACAACATGCAGTGAGTACTTCATATAGTTAGTATAACATGCAGTGTGTACTTCATACAGTTAGTACAGCATGCAGTGAGTACTTCATATAGTTAGTACAGCATGCAGTGAGTACTTCATATAGTTAGTACAACATGCAGTGAGTACTTCATATAGTTAGTATAACATGCAGTGAGTACTTCATACAGTTAGTACAGCATGCAGCGACTTCATATAGTTAGTATAACATGCAGTGAGTACTTCATACAGTTAGTACAGCATGCAGCGACTTCATATAGTTAGTACAGCATGCAGTGAGTACTTCATACAGTTAGTATAACTTGCAGTGAGTACTTCATACAGTTAGTACAGCATGCAGCGACTTCATATAGTTAGTATAACTTGCAGTGAGTACTTCATACAGTTAGTACAACATGCAGCGACTTCATACAGTTAGTATAACATGCAGTGAGTACTTCATACAGTTAGTATAACATGCAGTGAGTACTTCATACATTTAGTATAACTTGCAGTGAGTACTTGTTGTGTTAGTCTATGTTTGAGCACTTAGGCTCAGTGAATGAATGTGTGTGAATGCAGATGTAGTTTAAAAGCGCTTTGAGTGGTCGAAAAGACTACATACAAGTACGGAGCATTTACATTCATATAGTTAGTACAGCATCAGAGAGAGGCGAGAGTGCCAGCCCAGAAAAACACACACACTTTGAGGTGACCCCTGACCTTTCATTCCCAGGACCCGGTGCTGTTTTCTGGTTCTCTGAGGTTGAACCTGGACCCCTTTGAAACCCGCTCAGATGAGGATCTATGGAAAGCTCTGGAACTGGCTCATCTCAGCAGCTTCGTATCTGCACTACCACAGAAACTGAACCATCAGTGCTGTGAAGGAGGAGAGAACCTCAGGTAGATCCACCTACACCTGACCACCAGCAGAGGGCGATGTATAACCCTAACACAGTTCCACAGGGCAATGCCAGTGAGCGCTGTATACCAATAGGACTGCTCAGAGCTCAGCTACTGCAGCTTCCAGTCGTTTCAGCATCTGTTCTGCATGCTGTGAGTCAATCTGGCAAGAAAACACTGATAATCTATTGTACACTATTATGTGATACAAATGATCCAGGCCAGTGCTCGCTCGAGAATTTACCTACCACTGTCAGCCTGTCTCACATCCTGTCTGTCACCAGCGTAACACAACACCAGGGGCCACACAAGTTGGTATGGAAAAATGCTGTAAAGTAAGAATCCTTTCTATCAGTGAACAAAATGCAAAGTGAGTGAGCAGAAGAAAAATCTAAATCCAATATTTGGTGTGACCACCCTTTGTCTTCAAACACCATCACTTCATCTAGGTACCCACGCAGGTGGGTCGGTCAGGACCTCTTGGAGAACTCCCCACAGTCCTGTGGATCCAGGCAGCCTCAGCTGCTTCTCTCTCTCTTCATGTGATCCCAGTCCAACTGGATGATGTTGAGCTCTGTGGGGGCCAAACAGGGCTCTGTGGGGGCAACACCATCACTTTCAGGACTCATTGTTCTTCTTTAATCTGAAGATGGCTCTTAATGACTCTCACTGTGTGTTTGACCTCTTTGACACGCCGCAGAATAAATGTGGGGTCAAACAGATGCCTCCCTGATGGAACTGTATGATGGGTATAAGTATCTGCCTGTAATTCTCAGCATTGAGGAGACCATTCATTGTTACCAGATCCCAGACCTGCAGGACCCTCCACCAGCTTCATTCTTGTTCTGCTCTCAACCTGCTGCAGATATTTCACATGTGGACTCATCAGTCCAGAACTCCTGCTACCAGTTCCGCTCCACCCAGTTCCTGTGTTTCTATGCAGAGCTGAGTCTCTTAGTATTGTGTCACGACTGGCTCAAAACCGCGACAAAAAAAGAACAGTACAATGACACAAACTGCAGTAACAGTACCATTACTTTTTTAACAACAACTTAATATTCAAATAATCAGATGAAATGTGATAATCAGTAGATCAGTCATGTCAGCAGGTATGCATGCTTGAAGGAATAGTGAGTGCAGTGTTGTGTGATGAAAGAAACAAAAATAACGTGGAGCATAGGGAACAGGGTTTCCCTCCTCTCTAGCCCAAAGAGCAGAACATGAGATGCGCTTTTATCCTGGAGAACACCAGGCCCAGGTGGCTCCAACAACGGATGATTTTAACCACGCCTACTAACATCTGCAACACAGAACACAAAGAGACATCCCAGCAGCCAAAAGATGGGGATGTCACACTTGTTTCCATGTCGGAGGCTTTTTGGCTGCAAGTCTTCCATGAAGGCCACTTGTGACCAGACTTCTGTGGACAGTAGATGGTATACCAGGGTCCCATTGTTTCATTCTGCCCCTTTGGTTTTTTTGTTGCTGTTCCTGGTGTTAGCTGTTGCCTCAGGTTAATATTAACTTTAGGCTTTTGGTACTTTGGTACGTTTTCTGTCATCTGTCCTCCAACACTGCACACACAAATGCCATAATGAAAATAAACAGCACACTAAACCAAGAGTAGGAAACTAAAAAATAAAATGGACCCTCTGTTAGCCAACTTTCTGCAATAACTATGCTAGCTAACTACACCTGGCTAACTACAACTTAGCTAACTAAACTAGAAAGACAAACCAACAATTAGACACAGAGAGACATACGTACTGCACTTTTACAGTGTAGTGACAGCGTGTCCCATTTAAATGTCACAGAGAAGAAAAAATGTCAGATGTGGATATTTCATCATGGGGGGTGGCCATGATAAAATATCCACATCTGGCTTTCTCTGCCGTTTGTTACTGCTTTCATAGTGTACCTTTAGTGACCCTGCTCTCTGAGCTCTTCCAAAACCCACCTGTCTCACACTAACAGCAGCAGGACTGATCAGAGGCTGATGATCTGTCTGCATATTGATCTTTAAACTTCAACTCACAAATTCATTTCTTTTATGCTGGTTTTGTCTTTCTGTCCACCTGCTGTGAGGCATGTTGTAACGCGTGATGTCTTTGTCTGCAGCCTTGGCCAGCGGCAGTTGCTGTGTTTGGCCAGAGCTCTACTGAGGAAGACCAGGATCCTAGTTTTAGATGAAGCCACAGCAGCTGTGGACCTGAAGACAGACCAGCTGGTCCAGTCCACTATACGCTCTCAGTTTGATGACTGTACAGTCCTAACCATCGCTCACCGCCTCAACACCATCATGGACTACACCAGGTACCAGCTGGACTGCTTTGTTTTATGTCCCCAGATCAGGATGCAGGTGTCAATGTGTAGTCCAGCAGTATCCAGAAACATCAGGGTCTGTTAGTCCTTGCCTTTATGGTTTATGAAATAACTGATGTTCCCATACAGCAGCACGTTTAACTAGAGTTTATACAATGCCTTTATTTTGGAGACAGGCAGCCTGTCTGTACTAACCTCTTCCACAGCGATTTCAAACACCAGCTCTGACAGGAAAGCTGTTTAAATATTTAGTTTTTGGGTGACGGACGCTAAACGTGTTTAGATGTCCCATAAACTGACTCTCAGACTCGTCTTTTTTCGTCTCTAAATCCTCATCGGTTATTTTGACTCGTCTTCTTTCGTCTCTAAATCCTCATTCATTTTTCTTACTCGTCTTCTTTTGTCTCTAAATCCCCATTAGTTTTGCTGACTCGTCCTTTTTCATCTCTAAATCCTCGTTAGTTTTTCTGACTCGTCTTCTTTCGTCACTAAATCCTCATTCATTTTTCTGACTCGTCTTAATTCGTCTCGAAATCCTCATTAGTTATTTTGACTCGTCTTCTTTCGTCTCTTAATCCCCATTAGTTTTTCTGACTCGTCTTCTTTCGTCTCTTAATCCTCATTAGTTTTTCTGACTCGTCTTTTTTCGTCTCTAAATCCTCGTTAGTTTTTCTGACTCGTCTTCTTTCGTCTCTAAATCCTCATTAGTTATTTTGACTCGTCTTCTTTCGTCTCTAAATCCTCGTTAGTTTTTGTGATTAATCTTCTTTCGTCTCTAAATCCTGGTTAGTTTTTCGGACTCGTCTTCTTTCGTCTCTAAATCCTCATTAATTTTTCTGACTTGTCTTCTCTTGTCTCTAAATCCCTGTTAGTTTTTCTGACTCGTCTTCTTTCGTCTCGAAATCCTCGTTAGTTTTTCTGACTCGTCTTTTTTCGTCTCTAAATCCTTGTTAGTTTTTCTAACTCATCTTCTTTCGTCTCTAAATCCTCATTCATTTTTCTGACTCGTCTTCTTTGTCTCTAAATCCTCATTCGTTTCTCTGACTCGTCTTCTTTCGTCTCTAAATCCTCATTAGTTATTTTGACTCGTCTTTTTTCGTCTCTAAATCCTCATTAGTTTTTCTGACTCGTCTTCTTTCGTCTCTTAATCCTCATTAGTTATTTTGACTCGTCTTCTTTCGTCTCGAAATCCTCATTAGTTATTTTGACTCGTCTTCTTTCGTCTCTAAATCCCCGTTAGTTTTTCTGACTCGTCTTCTTTCGTCTCTTAATCCTCGTTAGTTTTTCTGACTCGTCTTCTTTCGTCTCTTAATCCTCGTTAGTTTTTCGGACTCGTCTTCTTTCGTCTCTAAATCCTCATTCATTTTTCTGACTCGTCTTCTTTCGTCTCTAAATTCTCATTAGTTTTTCTGACTTGTCTTTTTTCGTCTCTAAATCCTCGTTAGTTTCTCTGACTCGTCTTCTTTCGTCTCTAAATCCTTGTTAGTTTTTGTGACTCGTCTTCTTTCGTCTCTAAATCCTGGTTAGTTTTTCTGACTCGTCTTCTTTCGTCTCTAAATCCTCATTAATTTTTCTGACTTGTCTTCTCGTCTCTAAATCCTCATTAGTTATTTTGACTCGTCTTTTTTCGTCTCTAAATCCTGGTTAGTTTTTCTGACTCGTCTTTTTTCGTCTCTAAATCCTGGTTAGTTTTTCTGACTTATCTTCTTTCGTCTCTAAATCCTCATGAGTTATTTTGACTCGTCTTCTTTCGTCTCTAAATCCTCATTAGTTTTTCTGACTCGTCTTCTTTCATCACTAAATCCTCATTAGTTATTTTGACTCGTCTTTTTTCGTCTCTTAATCCCCATTAGTTTTTCTGACTCGTCTTCTTTCGTCTCTTAATCCTCGTTAGTTTTTCGGACTCGTCTTCTTTCGTCTCTAAATCCTCGTTAGTTATTTTGACTCGTCTTTTTTCGTCTCTAAATCCCCATTAGTTTTCCTGACTCGTCTTCTTTCGTCTCTAAATCCTCATTAGTTTTTCTGATTCATCTTCTCTTGTCTCTAAATCCTCATTAGTTTTTCTGACTCGTCTTCTTTCGTCTCTAAATCCTCATTCATTTTTCTGACTCGTCTTCTTTCGTCACTAAATCCTCATTAGTTATTTTGACTCGTCTTTTTTCGTCTCTAAATCCCCATTAGTTTTTCCAGCTCGTCTTCTTTCGTCTCTTAATCCTCGTTAGTTTTTCTGACTCGTCTTCTTTCTTCTCTTAAACCTCGTTAGTTTTTCTGACTCGTCTTCTTTTGTCTCTAAATCCTCGTTAGTTTTTCTGACTCGTCTTCTTTCGTCTCTAAATCCTCGTTAGTTTTTCTGACTCGTCTTCTTTCGTCTCTAAATCCTCATTCATTTTTCTGACTCGTCTTCTTTCGTCACTAAATCCTCATTAGTTATTTTGACTCGTCTTCTTTCGTCTCTTAATCCTTGTTAGTTTTTCTGACTCGTCTTCTTTCGTCTCTAAATCCTCGTTAGTTTTTCTGACTCGTCTTCTTTCGTCTCTTAATCCTCGTTAGTTTTTGTGATTCATCTGCTTTCGTCTCTAAATCCTGGTTAGTTTTTGTGACTCGTCTTCTTTCGTCTCTAAATCCTCATTAGTTTTTCTGATTCATCTTCTCTTGTCTCTAAATCCTCATTAGTTTTTCTGACTCGTCTTCTTTCGTCTCTAAATCCTCATTCATTTTTCTGACTCGTCTTCTTTCATCACTAAATCCTCATTAGTTATTTTGACTCGTCTTTTTTCGTCTCTAAATCCCCATTAGTTTTTCCAGCTCGTCTTCTTTCGTCTCTTAATCCTCGTTAGTTTTTCTGACTCGTCTTCTTTCTTCTCTTAAACCTCGTTAGTTTTTCTGACTCGTCTTCTTTTGTCTCTAAATCCTCGTTAGTTTTTCTGACTCGTCTTCTTTCGTCTCTAAATCCTCGTTAGTTTTTCTGACTCGTCTTCTTTCGTCTCTAAATCCTCATTCATTTTTCTGACTCGTCTTCTTTCGTCACTAAATCCTCATTAGTTATTTTGACTCGTCTTTTTTCGTCTCTAAATCCTCGTTAGTTTTTCTGACTCGTCTTCTTTCGTCTCTAAATCCTCGTTAGTTTTTCTGACTCGTCTTCTTTCGTCTCTTAATCCTCATTAGTTTTTGTGATTCATCTTCTTTCGTCTCTAAATCCTGGTTAGTTTTTGTGACTCGTCTTCTTTCGTCTCTAAATCCTCATTAGTTATTTTGACTCGTCTTCTTTCGTCTCGAAATCCTCATTAGTTATTTTGACTCGTCTTCTTTCGTCTCATAATCCTTGTTAGTTTTTCTGACTCGTCTTCTTTCGTCTCTAAATCCTCATTCATTTTTCTGACTCGTCTTCTTTCGTCTCTAAATTCTCATTAGTTTTTTGACTTGTCTTTTTTCGTCTCTAAATCCTCGTTAGCACACTTAGGCCTGTGTCTGGATCTGCTGACGTATTGCGGTAAGCGTGTCGACTCATTTCCGTTTCCGGTGCTTGTGTGTTGGTACCGTGTTGTGCTGCTCTCGCTAAATACCAGTTACATTTGTTTGATTACAGCGGCCAACTGTTCGCTAAACACTTATTCTTTACAGTAATTTTGCCTAAGCACTCACAGTTCTTTCCATCTTTTAGTGACTGCTGTTCAATCTCATAGTTGTTCAAAAGTTTTGGTAGCTGACGCTACAGTACTTTAGCTTAGCCGTTAGCGACTTTAGCTTAGCAGCTAGCGATGGCTTCTCCTTCTCCCTCTCTCTCTCCTACTTTCTCCTGCTCGGTGTGTCAGATGTTCAGTTACTCCTCTGCCTCCTTTAGCGGTAATGGTACGTGTAATAAGTGTAGTTTATTTATAGACATGGAGGCGAGGCTCAGTGATTTAGAAGTCCGGCTCTGCACCTTGGTAGATCAGTCTTTAGCTACTGTAGCTAGCCAGTCCTCGGTAGTCGGTGTGGAACGGCCTGAGTTAGCCTGTGGTAGCCGTCCACCGGCATCCCCTGTGCAGCCAGGAAAGGGGGGGGGGGCTGGGTGACTGTCCGAAGGAGGAATAGTCGTAAGCATTCAAAGTCCACGGGGCATCATCAACCTGTTCACGTTTCTAACAGATTTTCCCCACTCAGCGACACACCCGCTGAGAAACCAACTCTGATCATTGGCAGCTCCATTTTGAGAAACGTGAAGTTAGCGAAGCCAACAGCCATAGTTAAGTGCATCCCTGGGGCCAGAGCGGGCGACATTGAGTCTTATTTGAACCTGCTGGCTAAGGATAAACGTAAATACAGCCTATATGTTAGCCTAAATGAATCCACCCCTCCCAGTCATATTAATACTCACATTCCTCGAGGCACAGGCCGAGGAGGTGGAGTTGCAGCTATCTTCGACTCTAGCCTACTAATCAGCTCTAAACCTAAACTAAACTATAACTCATTTGAAAGTCTTGTTCTTAGTCTTTCGCACCCAAGTTGGAAATCACTGCAACCAATTCTTTTTGTTATAGTGTACCGAACACCTGGCCCGTATTCTGAATTCTTATCTGAATTTGCAGAGTTTTTGTCAACTTTAGTCCTTAAAACGGACAAAGTTATTATTGTAGGGATTTTAATATTCATGTGGACGTTGAGAATGACAGCTTCAGTACTGCGTTTATCTCTTTGTTAGATTCCATCGGCTTCTCTCAGAGTGTTCATGAACCGATTCACTGTTTTAACCACACCCTCGACCTTGTTTTGGTGTATGGTATTGAAATTGAACATTTAGTGGTGTTCCCACAGAATCCCTCTTTATCCGACCACTGTTTGATAACTTTTGAGTTTGTATTGCTGAACTACTCGCCATTGGGCAAAAATTTCTATACAAGATGTCTGTCTGATAGTGCTGTAGCTAAATTTAAGGATACGATTCCGTCAGCTCTAAATACATTATCTAGTCACAAAGTAACAGAGGACTCCTATGCAATTTCAGTCCCTCC